TTGATATTGTTGCAGTTTTTTTATCTCACCCTGTATTAGACGGTTAAGAAATTATTAAGGTAGTCAAATCATTTTCGATCAGGACATAGGGTTTTATTTCAATGGGGAACCTAGTAGCTTCTTTTTCAATTGAGACATAATATTTTCTAACGAAGAGGCTCTCTCTCCGGACAAGTCTTGGATCATCAATTGCAGATGCGCACTGGGAATCGTTGGAAGTTCATTTCGTAACAATTTTTTACAATTCTGACTTCACCCCTGCCCTCAACCATAGTGCAACAGAGGATATAGAAATGTGCCTCTTCAATGCGCCATCACAACTTCGAAAATTTCCATTATTTTGCCAAACACCTCCGAATCCCACCATAGTTGGAATTGCGATTTTTAATGTTCCACATAAACTGAAGGAAAATCCCACTTCATAGGTTGTTCTCCAAAGGAAAAAATCAAACCTAGTAGCTTTTTTTCCATAGAGGCATAATAATGTCTAACGAAGAAGCTCTCTCTCCGCACAAGTTTTGGATTATCAATTACAGATATGCAGTGGGAATTTCTAGGAAGGTTGTTCGTAATAATTGTTTACAATTCTGACTACACCCCTGTCCTTAACCACAGTGCGACAGGGGATATAGAATTGTGCCTCTTCAATGTGCCATCACAACTTCGAAAATTTCCATTATGTTGCCACACACACATCCGACCCCCACACCCCATAGTACGAATTGCGATTTTTAATGTCCCACATAAACTAAAGGAAAATCCCACTTTTCTTTCGCATAGCAGCAATGAAAAGTCAGCTCACGTACAATGCTAGCCTAAAAAAAGATAAAGGAAAACGGCAAAGCCAGAGGAGGCATCTCTAGTAATGGGCACAATATATTTTTGAAGGAGGGTGGGTGGTTTGGTTGCTTATAACAATTATAAATTCAACATATTTCACATGAATTATTTTCATTGTTTCTTTTTCTTGCCCCACAACTCAAAAGAAGAAGGTGAAAAATCGAGAGAAACAAATCTCTATTCTATGGCAGTGTTTTGTATCCTTTCAAGTTTTTAGTTCACCAAAATTTCCTTCAGTCGACAAAATGACAATCTACTGGAAGGAAGAAATGAAAAATGCTATATTGCAATTGTTTGGGAGTGTGTGTGTGTTTTTGTGGGGACAGGAGGTGGGTGGCAGCTTGTGCAAAGGATGCTTGCTTGCTTGCTTGGGAGCATCGAGTTTATGAATTTTTAATGGCACAGCCAGCCATTTCTGCGTCTTGCTTGTTTGCTGCTCGGCAACGAAATAAAATGTGTGAATTTGGGGGTAAAACAACGTTGCTTTCAAATTCACATTTCTTCTCATCTGTTTAGATTTGGAGCAACATAACAGCAAGAAGCCGCCTCGTAAGACGGAAATGGTTCTAAGAGTAACTAGTATTACAAATAAACGAAAGCAAAAAAAAAAAGATTTCATCGTAAATGAGCAGGCGTTTTGCACAATCCGTACAACAATGAGAAAGAGAGTAAAATAGTATCCAATAAGTATCCTCCACCTTACTTGGTTTTAAGGCAGAAATACGGGTTTTTTGTTTGGGAGGATATTAATAGATATCAATTGATTTTTTCCACCATGCCTTGGATTTTTTTCTTGCTCATGAGTACAAAAAAGGACACAGTAGAAAAATGATTTGTGTCCTCTGTTACCAATGAAATAGAAAAACATGGGAAAGGGTTACATATTTCATGAGTGGGGGTTAAATTTGTTTGATTTACGTCTTATATATGTTATAGATTGAGACAGCCGTCATGTGTGACCGAATTTTAACTAATTTTCTTCAAAAGTATTTTGAATTATATTTCACTTCCTGCTAAGGTTTTTTTAATTTGAATATGTCTGGATCTGTAGCAATTATTTTATATATAGCTGTTTTTCAACATTATATCACCACAAAATTTTTAAATATTTTATATGACTTATATTAACAAATATATAAAATTATGGAAATTTAAAAAAAAAATAATATGAAATGTTGTAAAGGTTTAGGCTATTGAACTAAATAATTGAAATGAACATGCTATTAATGAAGCTAGTAGGATATGCGGTAAATTCAAATATGAATAATGCGGCTAATGACTACAATGAAGAAGAATCATTAAATCGGATTAGTGTCTATTTGAGAGAATAATAAAATGCATACAAAACTAGGTTAGGTTATAACAAACTATTTTACCTACAAGGAACATTTTACAAATCTAATTTTTCAAACATCTAAACACCTAAAATAATTAAGAATTGTCAAATCCTAGATTATTTGAGTGTGAGGGGATACTATGAGGGGCTTTAGGAAATTACAAAATTACATAGAAGATCAGCAAGAGGCTTTCAAATAGTAGGACTTAGTAGAGAAATGTGGCAAAAATCATCAAAATACCAAATGTCGAGCGGTATCGTTATATGGAAGCTATGCGAAAACGTGGACCTATACATACAACGTAACGTCACCGGAGCTAGAACCAATTAAGAACTACAATTACCAATTTTTAGACAAATCCGTGCAAAAATGTAGCAAAAATCATCAATTTACCGAATATCGGGAGTACCGTTATATAGGGGCCATACCAAAACGTGGACGTATACATACAAACTACAAATACCAATTTTTAGAGAAATCCGTAAATTTAATGTGGCAAAAATGATCAAAATACCGAATATCGGGAGGTACCGTTACATGAGGGCTATACGAAGACGTGGTCCTGCATAAGTAATTTTTATTTTGTCATAGGCTGTAGTACCCATTAAGATTTTCAAATATGAAATTTGAAGGAATTTCGGCGAATAATGTCGCTAAAGTCATCAAAATACCGAATAAAGAGAGATACCGTTATATAGGGGTTATACGAAGACGTGGACCTGCATAAGTAATTTTTATTTTGTCATAGGTTGTAGCACCCATTAAGATCTTCAAATATGAAATTTGAAAGAATTTCGGCGAATAATGTCGCTAAAATCATCAAAATACCGAATAAAGGGAGATACCGTTATATGGGGGCTATACAAAGACGTGGATCTGCATACAACATTTTTAGGCTTAGGCATAGGCTGTAGTACTCATTACAAACTTCAAATACGAAATTTGAAACAATTCGGGCGAATAATGTCAAAAATACCGAATATCGGGAGGTACCGTTATATGGGGGCAATACCAAAACGTGGACCTATACATACAATATTCCACCACCAGATTTAGAACTCATTATGAACCAGAAGTACCAATTTTTAGACAGATCCTTGGAAAAAATGTGACGAAAATCATCAAAATACCAATCATCCTAGATACAATACAAATTGTTCTGCCAAATTTTGAAGGTCTACCTCAAATAATGTGAACTGTATAGTGATTTCAACAGACAGACAGAGAGACAGACGGACATCGTTAAATCGACTTAGAATTTTATGCCGATTATGAATATATATACTTTATGGGGTCTACAATGAATATTTAGGGATTTTACAAACGGCATGACAAAGGTAGGGTATATTAACTTTTCAAAAAGAAGGGTATAGCAGAATATAAACAATTTAGGCTCTTCTGGATTCCAAAAGTCTGACGGGCATAGTAAAATCTATTTAGAATTAAATTCTGCTATGAAAATGTATGAAGCCCGGGTTAATACCATCTTAACATGTGGAAGTTGGGCTTGATAGTAGAATTTAATTGAACCACTCAGCAAAAAATCGGAAGTCATATGTGTCACTTTAAACATTTTTAGTAATTACATCTACATACGGTAAGCTAAAGAAGAGTAAGTCCTATTAAATTTAGGCAAAAGGCAAAATAGCCTAATTGTAGTAATGAGTAACGGTGGTACTAATTGAGAACGTCCGACTACAAGCAAGACCGCTGGTTTGAATCTCCACGCCAGCAAATACGACGTTAGTAAGTACATCTACATACCCTAAGCTAAAGAAGAGTTATTCCTATAAAACTTTGGCAAAAGGCATAGTAACCAAATTTTATCATACCAAGTAATGAGTAACGGCGGTTCTAAGTGCGAACGTCCAACTACAAGCAAGACCGAATCTCCACTTCAGCAAATACGACGTTAAACAACAATAAAGAACATTAATCCAAATCACTGCGACGGTACCACTATTAGTCATATGCATATTCAGTGAAGGAATCAGTAACAGCCCAAAATTTGAGTGAGTGAAACGTTCGAAGATATATGCATCCGAACTTATCATCATTGACTTCAACACGTTGAACATCATCGTCTACGCTAGCTTCTCTTCTTTTCCAGCCTAGAATTATAATTTTTCTTTTTCACTCCTTTTCCTATTTTTTAATTATCCTTTTACATCCCTGATTAATGTGGCTAATGCCTATAAAACATCTCTTAGGTTTGTTTTTTCAAAGATTGCTTGGAATTTGACTTTATGGATAAATTTTACATTTATTTTGAGAAGATAAATTATGTTCTTGTTTTTCTCTAAGCAAGACTGCCATGAATAGGAAACCAATGAGTTTTGGAATCGATTCGGATACTTTCAATTTTAATTTCTTAAAACAAAATATTACGTTCTGACCAAACGAGAGTTTTTGTCCTACAACAACACAAAAAGTTTTTGTTCAAGGACGGTTATGGTTTGATTCGATAAGTTCTGAATATAAATGCCTTTCCTTCATTTTGGACGAAAATAAACATTCCTAGGCATATTGGTCCCTAAATTTTATATTTCTCTAGGGCTAAATGCAGACTAATCAAGTTTCCGATTAAGAGTCCCAAATTAAAGGATTTTTCTTCATTGTAATACGCCGCGCTCGTTGTTTGTGTATAAAAAATTATAAATAAAAAATGGGATGATATTTTCTGTTTGAATGAATTCCTTACAATTAATGGAAAAAGCAAAAGGGATGATAAAACATTAACAAAAACCAAACATAAAATAGAAAAAAATATTTTTTTTTTTTTGAAAATTGTGGGGGAAAATAGAATTTGGAACGAAAATTTACATTGTTCATACTAACCAAGTACATGGCCAGTTTATTGATGTCCAAATTAGCCAACTGACTGACATCGGTTGTGTTGAGAATGTTCAGCATTAGGCTAATATCTGCGGCGGTTGGCATGGGTGTTGAGGTTAGGGCAGCTATGGCAGCCGAAGCAACACTGTTGCCCTGTTGCTGCTGCTGTTGTTGTTGTTGCTGCTGATGTTGTTGTTGGTGCAAAGACTGTTGCTGTTGTTGCAAAGTCTGTTGCTGTTGTTGTAGTGATTGTTGCTGTTGTTGCTGTTGCATAACTGATTGCTGTTGCAACTGTTGTTGTAGTGTTATATTCTGTGCAGCAGCGGCATTTTGTGCTGCTGCCGCAGCAGCCGCTGAAGTACTTGGTCCCGTTGACAATGTACTATTGTTGCCTTGTATCAACGATTGTAGACTTCGACTACCAGGATCCTGGGGTGTTGTGGCTCCACCACCTCCAATTGCGTTAACACCTCCTGCACCTGTTCCTGTTGCCGATCCAACACCACCAGCAGCAGCATTTTGCATTTGTAATTGTATCGATTGTAAGGTGGGTGTTGTCGGCACCGACAGTGGTGGCGTTGACGAAACCAATGCCTGTAGCTATAGATTTGGATTTTTCAAAAAAAAAAAAAAAAAGTTGGGTGGGAGGGAATTTGTAAGAAATTTGCCATTGAAGATTTATTGTATCCATTATCAAATAAGGATGTTGGTATGTTGTGTGTGAGGGTGTGGGTGAGTGTGTATGATGAAAGTGGGGGATGGGGGGAATGTGTTTGATTTTTTTGCGAAAAGATATGATTTGTTATATTTTTTCCTAGTAAAGGTAGTAAAGTAGCAGAGCGATATTTAGCTTAGACATAACCTATGTAAATTAAACAGACACAGACTTCAGGCTGCAGGTGACTTTTTGTAAATATCTTTTGGAAGCGAAATCTTTGAGAGGAGTTCTATTACGAGAGAGAACCGTTTAAATACTATTTTAAATAACATATTTTAGGAATATAAAAAAGTGCAATTTTTGCAAAAACTTTCTCCTTGTCATGGTAACTGGTTTATCTGAATTACTATTTAAATACCTCAAAGCCGTAATATAAAAAGGAATACCTTTTGCTATATTCTGTCGCATTTGGTTAAGATTTAGATATTGCTCCCATATATGCATTTCCCCTAATATGATTCAAATGATGCCCCAACAACTACGTTTGTCCAATTGGATTGAATTTAGAATCATACGACCAAGATCCGACTAGAATAAAGTCTGAAGAGTTTGAAACGAATCAAAGTTTGGATTTTTTTTCGCGTTTTACTACAATAGTGATTATTTAAATTAGATTTTTTCGGGGGAGGTATTAAGAAGGGTTCGTCGATAGTGTCTACTTTCATATATAATGTAAACCGTACATAAATATTACTAAGTACAAAGTTTTGTTCAAGTCGAGATATATGATTTTTCGTTGTTGCAAAACTGTCAGGCTTAATCCCTTTATTGTTGGGTAAAAAATATTTTTTTTTGTCATAGAAGTTATTTTTTAAATAACTTCTGGGGAGAATATCCCAGACAAAAAACAAGGGAACTGATGAGGATAGGCGGCTCTTTCCGAAACCTAGGTATTCCCTGCCTTAACCCCTGATAAACATTACCATCGTTCTCCACTAATAAACAAACGTTGTTTTTAAAGAAACAACAATAAAGGGATTAAGCCTGACCATTTTGCAACAACAAAATACTACGGTATCCCGAACAAACAGGCCAAGACTGTTCTATATGATTTTTCTCTAATCTCAAAAATTTTGGGAATAGGGAGAAATTTTTCAGTTAAAAGGGTTGTAAATCCACCAATGAACAAAATTAAAAAATTCTAAATCCAAAAGGTAGTTCACAGCAATCCAACAGACATCATTACGTCCAGGGCAATCAGGTCAAGGCTATACTGAAATAGGACTAACTTCTTTGGCAGATATGGGATGACAGTGGTATTATTGTTCTTTAAGTGTTATATGCTCTCTAGCAAAAGATATAATACAGTTGAGATGAAAAAACGGCAAACAACTTCAGACTGCTGTCATTTGTGAGCAACTCGTCCGACAGCTGTTAAAATTGTCCCAGTGACAGCTTATTATATTGTTTACAAGCGTACAAAAGCATTTTGCTGAGAATTTTCCAGAAAAAAAGTTATTTGTGATTGAATTCAAACGTGATAGTGTGATTTCTTTATATTTGGCTGGAATACCACAAGTGACTATCGTTAGAGCACTCCAGCATTTAAATGTGAATAAATCTTTTGTGTCTCGTACCATCGCTCGTTACCGTGATACTGGTAGCGTAGCCCGACGTCAAGGAAGTGGACGGAAGAAAACAGTAACATCAGCAGAAATGGTTCGAAAAGTAAAGAAGCGACTTGATCGAAACCCGTGTCGCAGTGGCCCAAAAATGGCTTGTGGGCTGAACATATCGCAATATTCCGGCAATATTCGGCAAAAATAAGCTCGGGGTAAAGCCATTGATATTCCAAAAAGTGCAATAATTTACACCGCAACGAAAAGAAAATAGACTCAAAAGAGCTAAAGAGTTGCTTCGCTTGGCCGAAAGTTGTGAACTGCCGAATTTGTTTTTCTCCGCTGAAAAAACATTCGTTGTCCAGCAGTTTGTAAACAAAGGCAAACCAAATGGCCGTGTTTACTTGCCAAAGAGGTCAGCTGAAAATGTGCACCTTCGGTTGGCCACCAGAACTCAAGCGCCGGTCATGGTAATAGTGTGGGCCGTATTAATCGACCGTGGCATCAGAAAAAATGCCGAATATTATCGCGAAAATATTCTGGAGGGTGTATTAAAGCCTTGGGCACGCAAACATTTTGGCCACAGACCTTGGACATTCCAACATGACTGAGGACGCGCCACCCAAGAATGGTTACAAAATGAGGTTCCTTGCTTCATTTCCAGCGCACAATGGCCACCATAATCTCCGGATACCAATCCGTTGGAATATTGTGCCTGGAGTATTTTGGAAAGCAAGGTTGGATGACCTCAAGCAAGCGCTTCGCCGGGAATGGACCAAAATACCGAAGAGCAACATTTGGGCAGCGTATGACGGTTTCATTGGCCGTTTGAAGGCCATAGTTCGTGCCAAAGGTGACCAATTCGAACAAATCTAAACATTTTCTATTAACAATAATGGCGTTCGACTTTGTCGCATTTTTTATCTCACCCTGTATATTTGACAGATATGAGATAGATACAAGAGTTCCTTTCTATTACTAACTAGGTATGATCTAAGAATCGCAGTATGTATACTGACTGGCCACTGCACTGTAACTCAAGATGGGTTAACAGTGTTCTTGACTACTATAGACTATGCGAAGATGAAGAAGAGGCGGAGACAATTGAACACCTACTATGCTGTTGTCCCATGTTGTCCAACAATAGACATAGGCTATTTGGCAGATAGAACCTCTAATGTTTTCTTAGGCATGGATCCTTTTATCATCAAGTTGGTAAAATCACTCCAAGATAAAGCAGATGAACACAATGGGCCAAAGGTCCCCGAGTGAAGCCGTTGCTGACTCCCGTGTAGCTGCGCGTTTTTACCAAACCAAACCAAACTAAATCCTATAACCTATCTTATAATTTTTACAATGATATGGATCACGGTAAGGACGGGATCCCTATTAAAGGATAGGTTGCTCCCCACAAATTTTAGGGGTGAGAAAGTGTGACTTAAAAAAATTGATCTAATTTGACCAGATAACTAGGCACAAAGTGCACCTACCTTAAGTGAGTGTTGGAATTGAAATCGGTCATTGACGGGGATTATTTTAAATCATATTATGGTTGAAATTAGTAGGCTATTCAGTGGTTAAGAAATAAATATTTTTATTGAAAATATATTCCGCATTTAGCTTTGTTAAAGACTTCTCTATACTTTCAAATAAAAACACGGTTATTTCTTTCTAAAGTGAAATATCGACAGGGCCGCTGAACCTCAAACCAAGCATTACTATATTATTAAAAATTTCAAAATATATACGATGTTTTTTTTATAAAAATTGCTAACCAACCTCTAGCATTTCCGAAATTACAAAACTTATAATTACACTGATCAAATGTATATTTATATTTCTTTGAGATATAAACAGGTTCCTGTTAAGAATTTAAAGTAAATTTTATCAAAAATCACATGGTGGAGACAAAAGAATTGTTTGTTGTGAAATCAACCTACTTACTTCTTTTTAAATATGTTCAGATAAATTGGGAAATTGCTTAACTTATAACAATTTCATAAATAATTACACCTCCTTTCTTCTTCATTGCATTACACATTACTTCAGTAACTATACATTTTCTTTAAATAGAGGACAAAATACTTTTTTGGCTACATTACTACTTTACTACACAAAAAATATAACAAAATTCTGGTGGTTATATTTTCAAAAAATCGTTATGTTGTGAGTTTGGTTGGCCAAAGGGAGATAAAGAGTCGGAATAGGTTTTTGTAAACCCAGAAAATTTAAATAAATTTATTAAAAAATGAACTTAACAAAGATTTATAAAAATAGAGTTCATTGCAAACCCATTCCGACTGCAATTCCAACAATGACCATTTGGGTTATGGGAAAAGTAGTTTAGGTTAATTGAGAGGGATAGTAATAGTGTACAAAGATGTGTGTGTTTGTGTGAAAAAGGATAGATGTCAATCAAATGATATGATATTCATTTTGCACATTTTAAGTAAAGAAACAGAACCAAAAAGAAGAAGTAAAAACTCAAAACTAAAACACAAATACTAAAATTAAATAATACAATAATAAATTAAAGCCAAACTATAATTACAAAATTCAAAAATAGCAAAAGAAGAACAAAACAAAATTTTGGACAAATCAAAACTACATTTCAAATCCTTCTTTTGTTTTAAAATCAAAATCGAAAAATGTGCAAACTTTATTTGAGATATTAAAAAAATGGATATAGTACGTAATTCAGACACAGAAAGCTTCATAAGAGATAAACTGAACCAAGAGAATGTGGACCACAATTCCCCATCCTTCTTCATACTGATCAATTTATCTTCTTTAATGAAATTTTCTGTGGCTGACTTCCATGTAAAGGGATTATGAATTATATATTGATATAAATATTTGCATTGTTGTAAAACTCACCTTGGCCTTTTGTTGTTGTTTCAATTCTTCTTTTTTGTAATTCCTTTGATAGGCAGTTATAACACGTCGCAGACGTGTATTTAGATCCTGCATTGAGGGCCACATTGTTGCCGAATTATCATCGACCGGCGCTTGTGTGGGTGGATATGAACCGGCACCACTCTCCTCCTCATCTATGCCTAAACATGGGTTGTTTGGGTTTGTTGTAGTAGTTGTATTAACAGTATCATTTTGCGTTTGCTCTGTCGAGCTTGTTGTTGATGATGAGGTGGTGGTGGTAGTGGATGATGTAGATGTGGTAGTAGATATATTGGTAGTAGTAGTGGTGGTGGTAGTTGAGGTGATGGTGGTGGTAGTACATGTATTTTTGGCCTCTGTTGTGGCCGAATTTGGAGCAGCTTCCTCAACGTCAACAGTTTCAGTAGTTGACGGCGGGGTTGTGGTCTCAGCTGTTGTTTTTGTTGTACTACTGGCAGCAGCGTCTGCTGAAGAATTAACCTCATCACCTGTGGCGCCAGCAACAGTTGTTGGTTCAGATTCCGATACACTAACATCCATGGAATTGGAATCATTGGCAGTTGTAGCGGCAGCAGCAGTAGCTGTATCACTGCTATCCGCAGCCCCAACAGCCTCGGCTGATGATGATTTATCATTGCTGGCGCTGCTGGCACTACTGCTACTGCATGCTTCAGCTGTTTCTGTTTCCATTTCCTCAACATCGCTTGTATCTTTATCTGATTTTGTATCGGCTTCATTTTTATCCAAAGGATTGCCATCATTATCCGTTGCCGACGAGGATGATTTGTCATTTTCATCCTTCTCAGCTGATGTTTCTTCTTCGGCTAACTTGGAACGTTTACGTTTTTTACCAACAACTGTAGGTGGCGTCGTTGTTTCGGCGATTGGTTTACTCTCCTCCTCTTCGCCGCCGCCACCAGTGGCACTTTCAACAGCTTTGCCATTCTCATTATCAGCCACTTTAACTGTTGCATCTGCGGTTGCTTTTTTGGCCAATTTTTTATTCTTACCCGAAGAGCTGGGACGTTCGGGTGGATCTAAAGAATCTTTATCTTTGTCGCCCGTAGTCAACTTGGTGGAATCAGAGTCTTTGGTGGCAGTGCCATCATCGTCGACTTCTTCATTGTCGGCATCTTGTTTTGAGTTGGCGTCTTCTTCAGCGCTGTAATTGAGATATGGTAATGGAACAGGATTATAGTTAGTGGTTGGAAGTGAGGTTGAATAAATAATGTCAGTTTATAGTTTCATAATACTCCTGCATCAATCTGTATGTTTTTTATAGAAGTGTTTGAAATATTAGAAGTTTTCTATTCAAAACCTCCCATTTTCTATACGAAAACGTTTCATCCGAAAAATTTTCTGTACGAAAACGTTTCATCCGAAACATTTTCTGTACGAAAACGTTTCATCCGAAACATTCTCGATACGAAAACGTTTCATCTGAAACATTTTCGATACGAAAACGTTTCATTCGAAACTTTTTCGATACGAAAACTTTTCATTCGAAACTTTTTCGATACGAAAACGTTTCATTCGAAACATTTTCGATACGAAAACGTTTCATTCGAAACATTTTCGATACGAAAACGTTTCATTCGAAACATTTTCGATACGAAAACGTTTCATTCGAAACATTTTCGATACGAAAACATTTCATTCGAAACATTTTCGATACGAAAACGTTCCATCCGGAACATTTTCTATACGAAAACGTTTCATCCGAAACATTTTCTATACGAAAACGATTCATCCGAAACATTTTCTTTACGAAAACGTTTCATCCGAAACATTATCTACACGAAAACGTTTCATCCGAAACATTTTCTATACGAAAACGCTTCATTCGAAACATTTTCTATACGAAAACGTTTCATTCGAAACATTTTCTATACGAAAACGTTTCATTCGAAACATTTTCTATACGAAAACGTTTCATTCGAAACATTTTCTATACGAAAACGTTTCATTCGAAACATTTTCTATACGAAAACGTTTCATTCGAAACATTTTCTATACGAAAACGTTTCATTCGAAACATTTTCTATACGAAAACGTTTCATTCGAAACATTTTCTATACGAAAACGTTTCATTCGAAACATTTTCTATACGAAAACGTTTCATTCGAAACATTTTCTATACGAAAACGTTTCATACGAAACATTTTCTATACGAAAACGTTTCATTCGAAACATTTTCTATACGAAAACGTTTCATTCGAAACATTTTCTATACGAAAACGTTTCATACGAAACATTTTCTATACGAAAACGTTTCATTCGAAACATTTTCTATACGAAAACGTTTCATTCGAAACATTTTCTATACGAAAACGTTTCATTCGAAACATTTTCTATACGAAAACGTTTCATTCGAAACATTTTCTATACGAAAAGGTTTCATTCGAAACATTTTCTATACGAAAAGGTTTCATTCGAAACATTTTCTATACGAAAACGTTTCATTCGAAACATTTTCTATACGAAAACGTTTCATTCGAAACATTTTCTATACGAAAACGTTTCATTCGAAACATTTTCTATACGAAAACGTTTCATCCGAATCATTTTCTATACGAAAACGTTTCAACCGAAACATTTTCTATACGAAAACGTTTCAACCGAAACATTTTCTATACGAAAAAGTTTCAACCGAAACATTTTCTATACGAAAACGTTTCAACCGAAACATTTTCTATATGAAAACGTTTCATCCGAAACATTTTCTACACGAAAACGTTTCAACCGAAACATTTTCTATACGAAAACGTTTCATCCGAAACATTTTCTATACGAAAACATTTTCTATACGAAAACGTTTCATACTAAACATTTTCTATACGAAAACGTTTCATCCGAACGTTTTATCACTTAAATCGAGTCATAGAATGATGTAGAATATTTTCCCTAAATCTATAAAAACCATAAATCATCATGCCAAAGAAATTCACACAAATAAAAAAATGTTTAAATATTTAAAACATCTATAAGAAGAAAATAGTCATAGAGGTTTCACATAGTTTTTTCATTTTCTCAAAAAAAGCAAAATAATATGAGGTTAGATTGAAAATTTATTTCTTTAATGATTTATGATTTTATGGAATGGAACACGATGATATCCTTAAACTATAAAAAAAAAACTTTTAAAAAATATTCAAAACTTACACAGGCAAATTGGCTACGGTTGTCTCCTCTGTGGCTGTGGCTCCAACATGACCGGCAAAACATAGGGCAGGATCGGAACGCATTATACGATACATTTCACAGCCGTGTTTAAAGGTGCCCACCAAAAGACTCTTGTCGCAGCAGGGAGGATTCCACCAAGAGGCCGGCACCGCTTCAGCCATGGTTGGCGGGCGTATTGGCAACTCGCTAAATAATGATACATAGTTATAGATGAGGTAAGAGATGTTGTTGATAGGTAGGGGGTGTGGTGGTGAGTAAACAAATGTTGTGATAGGAGAAATAAATTAAAAAAAAAATCAATTTTTTTTTTATAAAAAAGTAAACAACAAAAAAAAATTTAAATTCAAATATAATACAATAAAAATAACAAACTACAGCCAATTATGAAAAATATAGTTATTTTCTTTTAAATTTTAATGTGAAAGGGAGAGTTTATGAAAGAAATACAGAGGCATTTCGTAATAGACTGCTGCTGTACTTACAAACAATGTATGGATCTGAAATATTTTCTTTTTGAATTTTTTAAAATAAATGTCTTAATGAAATCTTATGAGCATTTGTTTCTTGTAATGAAATGTTAGCTTTGAACGAGCAAGGGATATTTATTTAAGCAAATAAACATTGAAGGAAATTGAAATATTTATTTTTAATTTTGTAGAGCATGAACATATTCTGACAGTTAAAAGAGGGGATTTCGATTTTTTAAAAGGTTAACCGTTAATAATAATTGGTGGTATAAATAATTAACACCTAGAGCATACGATATATTTTTGCTCTGGAAGATAGCTTCAATATTATATGACCCAAAAAAAAAAAAATAAAAAATAAGAAATAGTAGATCCCATTTAATTGAAATGGAAGTTTAGCTTTACATTAGCAACCTATTGTGATAAAGCAGCGGTCAATATTTTCCAAAGTTTTGATTTTTCTATTATAATTTATTCGATAAATGACAAGTTGGAAAGTGAAATAATCAGTTTAAACTTTGGAAGAAGTTATTTTAGACTACTTTTCCTTCTAGTGATCTTGACCTTGTAGGGCCATAAGTCTTGTCCGACATAGTTACTAAAAGTTGCAATGTAACTACTTTCTTTTTGGACGGTATAAAATCTAGTCTAGGGGAATGCTCTATTATTACACTGTTAACAAATTAATAGAAAAGATTAGAACCACATTGGGAAGCTAAATACTTCGAATGAGGTATTGAATATAGGGGGTTTACAGCCCAGTCTCATTAAGGAAGTCTGCTGGGTATAATTAAAGACTGCAAATCATACATTAATTTCCGAGGAGCATTAGAATGTATATGCAGGGTGAAATGAAATAAATTCAACCAAATTAAGAGTGCTGCCATTTCTAAGCCACTCGACCGACAGCTGTTATTATTATTCCAGTGACAGCTCATTATATTGTTTACAAGCGTACAAAAGCATTTTGCTGAGAATTTTCCAGAAAAAAAGTTATTCGTGATGGAATTCAAGCGTGATAGAGTGACTTCTTCATATTTAGCTGGAAAACCACAAGTGGTTATCGTTAGAGCACATCGCTCGTTACCGTGACACTGGTAGCGTAGCCAGAGGTCAAGGAAGTGGACAAAAGAAAACCGCAACATCAGCAGAATTGGTTCGAAAAGTAAAGCGACTTGATCGTAACCCGCGTCGCAGTGGCCGAAAAATGGCTCGTGAGCTGAACATATCGGAATATTCCATTCGGCAAATATTGGAAAATGAGCTCGGGGTAAAGCCATTGAAATTCCAAATAGTGCAACTTACACCGCAACAGAAAGAAAAAAGACTCAAAAGAGCTAAAGAGTTGCTTCGCTTGGCCGCAAGTTGTGAACTGCAGAATTTGGTTTTCTCCGATGAGAAAACATTCGTTGTCCAGCAGTTTGTAAACAAAGGCAAACCAAATGATTGCTTTTACTTGCCAAAGAGGTCAGCTGAAAATGTGTACCTTCGGTTGGCCACCAGAACTTAAGCACCGGCTATGGTGATGGTGTGGGCCGCCATAACAGCCGATGGTCGCTCTCCGCTCGTATTAATCGACCGTGGTATCAGAATAAATGCCGATTATTATCGCGAAACTATTCTGGATGGTGTATTAAAACCTTGGTCACGCAAACATTTTGGCCGCAGACCTTGGACATTCCAACAGGACCCGTCACCATCGCACTCAGCACGCGTCACCCAAGAATGGTTATAAAACGAGGTTCCTCGCTTCATTTCCAGCACATAATGGCCACCAAAATCGCCGGACACCAATCCGTTGGACTATTGTATCTGGAGTATTTTGGAAGCAAGGTTGGTACCAAAAAAAATACCAAAGTGTCGATCACCTCAAGCATGCGCTTCACCGGGAATGGACCAAAATACCGCAGAGCAACATTCGGGCAGCGTATGACGGTTTCATTAGAATTTGGCCTTCAACATAATTCTTGCCAAAGGTGATCATTTCGAACAAATCTAAACTTTTTCTAAAATTTGATGATATTTACGATATTTTTATGCTTTCTTTCAATAAAATTATGGCATTTGACTTGCTGCAATGTTTTTATCTCTCCCTTTATGGGGGCTATATGAATAAATGCCGAACCTACATGGCCTATTTACGAACTTAGCCTGCCTATCTCAGTGCATACGAAAGATAGCGTGATTACAACAGACAAACACAGGCAGACGGACATCGCTAAATCGACTTAGAATTTTACAACTGATCAGGAATATATATACTTTTTGGGTCTGACATGACTATTTCGAGGAGTTACAAACGGAATGACAAAGTTAATATACCCTTCATAGTTTGGTGGAGGGTATAAAAAGATCTGTATAGACCGAAAACATTACATATTTCCCTTTAAAAATTCTAATTTAGACTAAGAAACTTTCCAAAGTACCTTGTCCAAATAGGAGGCCTTTTAATTGATATTTTCCACACAAATAGTTTTCTTTAGACAGAAGATCTTTAACAGATCTTAAAGAAATTCTAAATATATTTTTAAATATAGAACGCCTTTCAAAAATATACATTTAAGGGACAATATCAAAGCTATCTTCGAAAGAGGCTTAACGTATGGTTATAAAAGTGAAACAAATTTAAGGAAAATAATTTATTAATGTCCTTTTATTTACAATTAAGGACATAAGGAAAGGACATTTTGAAGATATAGAAGATAATTTCGAATGGATTAGCATATATATTTTACAAAACCCAACAAGGAAAAGAGCGAGCAAAATATATAATCCTTTAAAATATTTTAATCCTTTAAGATAGGGATAATTTGAGGGAATTGAATTTGAATTTTTTTGTGACGAATTTTAAATTTTGTCTTTCACACTTAAAGGATTAATTATGGTCATGTGTAAAAGGAAATTGAGTTAACAGGTAATTTTCAAAAAAGAAGAGCCACATGTCAAAAAAAGGAAACCCCGCTGATGTGAGCTTCTTTGTAACAATCCCAAAATGAAGCAAACAAATAATGAAAACACACGCATACACATAATTAGCTGAATAGTTTTAAAAGGGGGAATTAAGAAAACATAACCAAAAAACAATTATCACAACAACAACGATACGAAAAAAAAACCGACAATAACAACAATGAAATTGCTTTGAAACATTCGCCCAACACTACTTACCTGACAGGTGTATTATCCTTAATCTGTTGCACCAAATCTCCAATCACCTCGTGTTGTATATAATACAGCATACGGACGCGCAATAAAACTCTGTGTTGGAGGTAAATAGGAAATAAATTGAAAAGAAAATGATAAGAAACCAAAAGAAATAAAAAAACCAAACATAATCGAAAGTAGAAGAGCCAAAAAAAGATAAAAGAAGAAGAAAAAGGAGTTATGTTAGTTGAAAAATTCCTTGAAATTGGGTTAAAAGAATAAATTCGATTCCACACGACTCACTTATTCGCGTGTCTGCTTAAATGTTTTTTATATGCCCCCTCTAGATAGGAATCAGCATCATATTTCTCCTGTTTGCTCCAATGACTGGGGTCCTGTATATTCTGTAGACCATGGGTGCCGAGCTCTTTCTTGGGTGGTTTGGCGGCAGCTGTTGCTGTTGTGCTGCCCTCACCACCACCTGTGCTTTCGGGAGTTGGCGGAGCCGTAGCTGAATCCGTGGGCGTTGGTGTTGTACCACCACTAGCCGTAGTAGCAGTCTCACCATCCTTTTGCGTTTTACCACCATTACGTCCTGTAATGAAATTGCATTTTTATTATCAAACTGCTAAATGGGATAGGAGAGGTGGAGTGTATATGTAAATATTATAAAAACAATTTGGGTAAATAAACAGAATTTTGAATGCCAAAAAGCTAACAATGTAACTGAGAATAAAATTAAAAAAAAAATCAAATATTAAAATGCTTTTATTTGAACCTTATGTTTGGAATCCTAAAATGAGTATCGAAAATGCTTTTTATCTGAGAGTAAATCTGAATTAAAAATATTCATTTTGAAAAATAGTCGCGATTGAATTGAAATTTCGAAATTTTTACACAGTAGAAATTGCACTGTGCAAAAGAAAAAATAATTATGGGGAAAATCTAGCAGATTATGAAAGTAAAGCTAAAAAATAGAAGGCATGTGAAAGTTTAAATCACCAATAAACCTAAATAGAGAGGGCAAGTTTATCATTCTTCCGATTTTTTTAAATTTTCGGATTAAAATTCTATATAATCCTTTCATTTTACCTACATAATATATCCAGCAATATTGCTGGCAAAAGCACGAGGATTATTTTTTTTTTTCTAAAAATTTAACCAAAAGTGGTCTTTTTGGCAATTTTGATGTCAATATGGTTAAATACTTCCTCCAAACGAGCATAAATGTTCGTATGTCTGAAGAGATTTGTATTAATCTTATTTCGCTTTTTTTGAGCATTTTGTGATTCAAAATCTTGAATCCCTTGTGGGGGAGGTACCAGAAGAAATGGTCCGATCTCTACCATCTTAATAACAGATCTTGTGTTGATGTAAATATTGAGATGTACCAAGTCTGAATGGAATCGGAATGTTAATTTAGTTATTTTATGAGCATCATGGATATTCAAAAATTTGACCCTTTGTGGGGGAGGTACAAGAAGGAGTGGACCGACACATCCCACCTTCAAAGCAGATTTTGTGTTAGCAAAAATGTTTGTATGTGTGCAATATAAAGAGAACCGGATGCTTATTTCGGATTTTATAAACGTTTTTGGTTATTTAAAACTTTGACCCTCTGTGGGGGAGGTACCAGAAGGAATGGTCCGATTTCTTCCGTCTTTATAACAGATCCTGTGTTGATAGAAATATTCAGATGTGCCAAGTCTAAATGGAATCTGATGTTAATTTCGCGTTTTATGAACTCCATGGGTATTCAAAATTTTTATCCTTTGTGTGGAAGGTACCAGAAGGAGTGGACCGATATATTCCATATTCACACCAGACCTTGGGTTAATAAATATATAGTGATATTTGTAATTTGAAGACAATCGGACTCTAACATCAAACTTTATAGGAGCTATAATTATTCAAAATGTGTAGCCTTTGTGATGGAGTGGACCGATATTGTCCATTTTCACACCTGAACTAGCACTGATGTAAATATTAGGATATGCAAAGTTTGAGCAAAACCGGATTATCCTTTTCCTTTCTGTGCAGTAAATTGTTTTCTTTGGAAATGTCGACATTTTGTGGTGGAGGTACCAGAAGGAGTAGACCGATATTGCCTATCTCCGAACTCGATCTAAGTTCGACAAAAATATTACGATGTACCAAGTTTGGATCAACTCGTTTTTGGCAGAATCAAATGATATGTACCCTTCTCTAGCCACATGGCTGAATGTATGAAAAGCTTATTAATGATTTTGATTTTGTGATCAAATTATGCTTAAAAACTCCCTTTAAAAAAGATCGTAGCAAATCAAAATATTCTACAAAATTATTCGTCACTAAATTCTACAATAGGTCCTACAAGGCGTCAAAAGTATAAATCTTATCTAAACGCCAGGAAAATGAATAATTTTTTTTAAAAATACGTTTTAGGGTTAAATCTGTTAAATCTGTATGTGGTTTTATGTAAAAATCTCCTACAAAGCATCATTTCGAAGAATGATGTCAAAGACAAAAAAATCTTCAAATTCACTACAGGTCATCAAAAAAAAAAAAAAAAAAAAAAAAAAAAAAAATCTCCATTCCCGTTATACATAAAAAAATTCAATTAAAGTCCAAACAAATATTTTCTATTTTTTTTACCAATTTTTTCCTTTACCTTTTTTCGGGTTGACGTCTGAAAGTAACATAATCTTTCGTTTTAGGGAGAACGTGTCAAAAGAAGAAATATTCTACACAACATTCCCTGTTACTATTAAAAGAAACCATATACCTAGCTTTAATAGTTTTTAAGAAAATTGCATTCGAAACTTATGTTCACAAGTTAAAATTATGTGTTTGCCTTCTTAACCGTTAATTTCACATATTTTCATTCCCAGACAAAATCTTTCTGCACACTTGATTTTTTGGGAAAAGTGCCAAAGGAAGAATTGTTCTAGATCAAATTTCATGGGGAGCTTCTAAACAAAAGAAATTTGTATATTCAATATGCAGCATGAAAAACTATTATTACCCTGTTTGTTATTGAAAAATGTTGCATTTTTCTTAATTCTCTGGTAAATTTCTTATAATTTTGTTGAGATAGGAAGATCGGTACATAACATCGTCTAGGAAAAATATTTCAAGGTGTTTTGGCCAAATCAAAATTATAATACACATATGCTCTGTTCCAGAACCTGCAAGAATCTACTAGTTTTGATTTTTTTTTTTGATATAAAGGGAAATCGAATATCTTTGTGAAAACTTTTACATTCTTGCAAATCTGGAACTGAACAATAGTGTTGTAGAGTGTAAAAACATTTATCCGAGTAATATTTCTATAAAAATATTTTATCCAAGTCATTTTCTTTACGATATTTAATTGAAATATCTGTATTTTCTTCTTCAGTTACATTGCATTATAAAATAAAAATTATCAAAAACAAATTTTTAACAAAATTTTGAAGACCAAATGAGCAAAAAATAAATAAATAAAAACAATAACTACTCACAACGTATAAATTGTTTACTAAAAAACTTTTTGTTTTTAAATATAGTATAATAAAAAAGGATATATGGTACAGTAAGACAGAGCATATTACAAACACATTTTGGATTCACATTTTTCTGTTTGGAAGAAATTTCTTTACAGGTTTGCAGAATGACAAAAAACATTTGTCATTATATTGTTTTTAAAATTACAAAATTACACACACGACATAAAACACACTTCTAATATACAAATTAAGGCCTTTATAAGATCGGTCTTCATGCCACTTTTAACAACAATTTGACAATAAAATTAGCAGTTTTTACACAATTGCTATTTGATTTTCTTTGCATTTAAAATCACAAATATGTATTTCGATCGTAAACTAAGTAGTCTGATTTATTGATTGACATCATATGACATTGATATAAATCAAGACTTATATACAGGGTGAGATGAAAAAAACTGCCACCAACTTCAGACTGCTGTCATTTCTAAGCCACTCGCCCGTCAGCTAAGCCACTCGTCCGACAGCTGACAGCTCACTATAATGTTTACAAGCGTACAAAAGCATTTTGGTGAGAATTTTACAGCAAAAAAGTCATTCGTGATGGAATTCAAGCGTGATAGTGTGATTTCTTTATATTTGTCTGGAAAACCGCAAGTGACTATCGTTAGAGCACTCCAGCATTTAAATGTGAATAAATCTTTTGTGTCTCGTACCATCGCTCGTTTCCGTGATACTGGTAGCGTAGCCCGATGTCAAGGAAGTGGACGGAAGAAAACAGCAACATCAGCAGAAATGGTGCGAAAAGTAAAGAAGCGAAAAATGGTTCGTGAGCTGAACATATCGAAATATTCCATTCGGCAAATATTGAAAAATGAGCTCGGGGTAAAGCCATTGAAATTTGCAAAAAGTGAAAGAACTTATACCACAACAGAAAGAAAATAGACTCAAAAGAGCTAAAAAGTTGCCTCGCTTGGCCAAAAGTGGTGAACTGTCGAATTTGGTTTTCTCCGCTCCGATGGGAAAACATTCGTTGTCCTGCAGTTTATAAATACAGGCAAACAAAATGATCGTATTTACTTGCCAAAGAAGTCAGCTGAAAATGTGTGCACTTTCGGTTGGCCACCAGAACTCAGGCGCCGGCCATGCTGATGGTGTGGGCTGCCATAACAGCCGATGGTCGCTCTCCGCTCGTATTAATCGACCGTGGCATCAAAATAAATGCCGAATATTATTGCGAAAATATTCTGGAGGGTGTATTAAAGACTTGGGTACGCAAACATTTTGGCCGCACACCTTCGACATTTCAACAGGGCTCAGCACGCGCCACCCAAGAATGGTTACAAAATGAGGTTCCTCGCTTAATTTCCAGCGCACAATGGCCACCAAAATCTCCGGATACCAATCCGTTGGACTATTGTGTCTGGAGTATTTTGGAAAACAAAGTTGCCACTAAAAAATACCAAAGTGTCGATTACCTCAAGCAAGCGCTTCGCCGGTAATGGGCCAAAATATAGCAGATCAACATTCGGTTAGCATTTGACGGTTTCATTCGCCGTTTGAAGACCATAATTCGTGCCAAAGCTGAACAATTTGAACAAATTTAAATTTATTTGATGCTATTTTCGACATTTTTTGCTTTCATTCAAAAAACTTTAAAGAAAATATAAAAATTATGGCGCTTGACTTTGTTGTAGTTTTCTTATCTCACCCTGTAAGCTCGGCCAATAAGGCTATCTTACTACTAAGATAGCTGTCAAAATACTTATTGTCATTTAAAATTAAAAGGAAGTCAGATCCCAATGGTATAAAAACTACTAAATTTATTGTGATGTTGTTGTTAAAAGCAGACTTCTTGTCCAACCTTATGTAGGCCTTGATACAAATTTTAAATATTTTTTTTTAAATACAATACAAACAATAACGGTTATAAAGACAGAGATTGATGATGACATTTTGTCTAAATTTGATAAAATGTAAACAAAAAGTCTCCCATCTTCCTTATAACCATATTTGCCTGCATCTACGACTAAAGATTATAAGACGACTATATACCAATCAGGTTTGTTAGGTTTGGTTAGTTTAGTTTTTTACATATTAATCTCATTTTACTATTTACAGAAATTAACTCTACAAATCAAATTTGACTTTCTTCAACGTTTTAAGAGGAACTTTTACGATTTTCACGAGATTGCAATTAGTTTTGTTAGTATAAGACTTGGTTTTAGTAGTGATTTACAAAATAGACTTGTTTTACAGATAGAAGATATTTTTTGCCAAATATTAGTGTGTTTTGGCGTGCATATTTTTCTTGCTTTGATTCTTGTTGTTGCTGTTGTTGAGGAAATTTTCACAAAAGAACTACCATTCGTGCAGTTGATCTTCGGAATTTGAATGTGCGTGTTTGTAGCTATTTTTGTTTACCGTACCTTTTGCATTCCTACCTCGTGGCACCAGATTATGGAGGCCACTATGATCCCTGCTGATTTTTGTCACCTCACCATCCTCGGAGGGTGTTATCAGATCCCAGATGAAGGTTTTGATCTTCTCATCGCCCTTGTAGACTTGCAGGCAGTACAATAGCTAAAGAGGACAAAATACAACAAAAAAAATTGTTATCAAATGTTTTGTAAAATTAATATAAATAATTGGTATGGATTTTCCAATCAGTGACATTCGAAATAGTTTTTCTCAGCGAAAACCTAAAGTTTTCTCCATATTAGCATGGTTGGTCATCATATTGGCACACATAAGTGAAAAATGTGTATGTAAACGGATATCTTGTGACTTACAATTATACGTGAACACTCCTCAACGTTAATGTCCCGCCATCCACGTTTGAATTGTCCCAATTCCAAGATTTCTGGCCAACGGCCCCAGCTGAAAGACAGAAAGAAGTTGGAAAGAAAAATTAATTAATAAATTTGTTTGTTGATTTTATAGGTCAGGTTATAACTTCTTTAATAATTTCCATCAGTTTAAGTGAGAAGTTTTGTTTTACTCAGCGAAAACCTATAGTTCTCTCAATATTAGCATGGTTGATCGTCATGTGGAAAATATAAAATAGAATATATGAATATTACAATGGCAAATATTACAAGGACAAAGTAGTTTTAAAAACATTTTTCCAAAAAAATAAAAGATTATGGATGACATTGGTTTATCCCAAATATTTTTTTAAATCAACCCATTTAACCTCACATTTATGCCCCCAAAATTTTTTACCGAAAAAAATTTAAAAAGAATATATATTTTTTTGCCATAAAAATTTTGGTATCTGAACAATTTTCTATAAAACGTTTCATGCGAAACATTTTCTGTACGAAAACGTTTCATACGAAACATATTCTATACGAAAACGTTTCATACGAAACATATTCTATACGAAAACGTTTCATACGAAACATATTCTATACGAAAACGTTTCATACGAAACATATTCTATACGAAAACGTTTCATACGAAACATATTCTATACGAAAACGTTTCATACGAAACATATTCTATACGAAAACGTTTCATACGAAACATATTGTATACGAAAACGTTCCATTCGAAACATATTGTATACGAAAACGTTCCATTCGAAACATATTCTATATGAAAACCTTTCATACGAAACATATTCTATACGAAAACATTTCATGCGAAACATTTTCTAAATGAAAACATTTCATGCGAAACATTTTCTAAATGAAAACATTTCATGCGAAACATTTTCTAAACGAAAACATTTCATGCGAAACATTTTCTAAACGAAAACATTTCATGCGAAACATTTTCTAAACGAAAACATTTCATGCGACACATTTTCTAAACAAAAACATTTCATGAGAAACATTTTCTAAACGAAAACATTTCATGCGAAACATTTCATCCGAAACATTTTCTATACGAAAATATTTTATTCGAAACATTTTCTATGTACGAAAACGTTTCATGCGAAACATTTCCTATATACGAAAACGTTTCATGCGAAACATTATCTATAACGAAAACGTTTCATGCGAAACATTTCCTATATACGAAAACGTTTCATGCAAAACATTTTCTATATACGAAAACGTTTCATGCGAAACATTTCCTATATACGAAAACGTTTCATGCGAAACATTTCCTATATACGAAAACGTTTCATGCGATACATTTTTTTATATACGAAAACGTTTCATGCGAAACATCTCTATACGAAAACGTTTCTAGCGAAACATCTCTATACGAAAAAGTTTCATTCGCCACATTTAAATTAATTTTGGTCTGCTTTTTTATCCGTAACGTTTTTGTAGAAAAATATATTATCCACAACCCTGCAAAAGCAACTTTTCCTATCCAACAACAAATTTTTATTTATTTATTTATTTTTTTTTTTTTTGACATTTTTTCTTCATCTTTCCAAAAAAATATAATAATAAAACTTCAATTATGACACTATTCAGTTCACAAAACTCTTCGCGCATTGAAACAATTTCCCGTCATGGCGTTGGTGGCAGCAACACCAATCCCAGCACTTTGTCGCGTGGTGGTCGTGCCCTAGCTGCACTTTCCCAACAAGAAGATGCCAAATTGGCCCTGGAAACGTTTATCAATGGCTTACAATTGCCGGTATTCTTTCAACTTTCGGAGGAGGAGCAAGATGAACGCTTGTCCAAAATAGATGCATTGGAGCTGTTTCAGGCTCTTCAAGATATCAATCGTGATTTGGCCATGGCTCGCTTGGAAAATCTTTATCTCGCCGATTTTCTAGAGAAAAATGATCCAAAGCTTTTGATTGGTTTGCAACAGCGTAGGGCCACAGCTCAAAATATGAATCTGTCGCGGGCAAAGGGTGATGCCACAACACAGTCGGTGAGTAGTTCCATGGGCACTAGGCCAAGGGCGTCCATGTCGAGATCGCATTTAACCACCACCACTGGTAGTTCGCAAAAGAAAACCGCTTTTGATTATAAATTGAATTTTCGTGCCAAGGCCGATATGGCGGAGAAGACCGCAAATGAAGTTGAAAAGAGGGTCAAGGATATTGAGAGTAAAGGTAAAGAAGTAATTACTGCCCATAAACAAGGATTTTAATTGCAATATCTTTATAGCTTCCAGGGAAATCAAAATCCTTCGCGGCCACATGGAAGAAATGCATTTCATGTGTGAAGAGACACGGGAGACAATTAAAAACTTCCAATTACATTTTATGCGTGACGAGCAGGACCTGGAATTTCTCAGCACCGCCACTGAAAAGCAATTGGAAAGGAAAGTCCGTAAATTCGTAAACAACTGGATAAAGAATGCTCGAGCCCTCTTGGCCACAATGCGTTTGAAAATTACAGCTCTGCAGGAAAACTGTCAACATTTGCGCAGTGAGCTGCTGACCAAAGCCGATCTGAGTGGCATCCTTACAGCCATCGATTTTGAAAAGCTAATGATAAAACGTTCAGAACTTTTAACCTCGCTGGATGAGAAAAATATGTACATGGCTGGTTTGAAGGCAGTCACCGGCAAGGCATCGCTCTCTATGACAGAAGACAAACAAATTATGATGAATATTGAAGCGGAATCGAAGCAATTGAATCAAAAGACTATAGATGTCATAAGAGCCATTGACAAATTGGAAAAGGAAGCCAATATGGTGGAGCGAGAAAATCAAAAAGATTTAGAAGCTTTGAGTAATTTACGACAGCAGTTGGAACGTTTCGAAGCGCCAAGTGTTCGTCAATATATTGAGAAGAAAAATGAACTGATGGCGCTGGAGAAGGAGGAGAAAATGTTGCAGCGTAAAATTTATATTTTGAATATGAAATTGGAAAATACCCAGAAGAAATGTAAGGGGCAGAGAATGGAAGAGAATATTTTCATAAATAATTTAAAATAAATTTTTGTGCAAAGAAATAATTTAATAAAATATTTTTTTCATTCGAAACATTTTTTATACGAAAACGTTTCATTCGAAACATTTTCTATACGAAAACGTTTCATTCGAAACATTTTCTATACGAAAAACTTTCTGTACGAAACATTTTCTATACGAAAAACTTTCTGTACGAAACATTTTCTATACGAAAAACTTTCTGTACGAAACATTTTCTATACGAAAAACTTTCTGTAGGAAACATTTTCTATACGAAAAACTTTCTGTACGAAACATTTTCTATACGAAAAACTTTCTGTACGAAACATTTTCTATACGAAAAACTTTCTGTACGAAACATTTTCTATACGAAAACGTTTCATCCGAAACATTTTCTATACGAAAACGTTTCATCCGAAACATTTTCTATACGAAAACGTTTCATCCGAAACATTTTCTATACGAAAACGTTTCATCCGAAACATTTTCTATACGAAAACGTTTCATCCGAAACATTTTCTATACGAAAACGTTTCATCCGAAACATTTTCTATACGAAAACTTTTCAATCGAAACATTTTCTATACGAAAACGTTTCATTCGAAACATGTTCTATACGAAAACGTTTCATTCGAAACATGTTCTATACGAAAACGTTTCAATCGAAACATTTTCTATACGAAAACGTTTCATTCGAAACATGTTCTATACGAAAACGTTCAAATCGAAACATTTTCTATACGAAAACGTTTCATTCGAAACATGTTCTATACGAAAACGTTTCATTCGAAACATGTTCTATACGAAAACGTTTCATCCGAAACATTTTCTATACGGAAACGTTTGATCCGTTTTTCGCAAACTTTTCTATAAAAATGTTGTCCCACTTTGTAATATCCATACATTCCAATCTAAGAAATAGAAATTCCAGTGATTTATTTTTCTCAACTTACCCAAATGACAGCAGACCCTTTTCGACCTTGAAACACTCCGATTTGGCCCAATTACCATATTGGATCTCATCCAAACCCAGCGCGGCTAAAGCATCCCGCTCCCTGGGTACATATTCCTCATTGGCTTTCTTATCGCGGCCACGTTCACGTTTCTCTTTGCGTGAACGCCTTGTCGAACGTATACCAATGCCACCCTCTTCATCGCTGTTCTCATTCGATGACTCCTCGGAATTCATTTCCATAACATCCTCATGGCCGTAACGTTTAATTTGTGTACGACGTCTTGGTTCGGATATAACCAAATCTTCTGTTTCATCACGTTCCACGGCATCGGGATCGATGTCGGCTTTCTTAGCCCATTTGGTCCAGAAATCAGGATCATCAATTGTGATGTCGGAACGATTACCCGATGCAGCGAAAGAGGCCTTTGAGAATGTGGATCCCTTCTCCGATTCCATGGTAATAACCTGGGTACGTCTTTTCAAAATTGAGTCGATATCTTCTTCACAGAACTTATCGCCCGCATTGTCGTCATCCATGACAGCGCCATAGGCACCCTTCTTGAGCAGATCTTCAATTTCCTTTTTCGTGAGCTGTTTGTTGCTACCATCTTTGGAATTCTGGGTATTCATGGACTGTAGAACAGCCTTGTCGAGACCTAGTTTCAGAGAGGCCTTATCGAACATTTCACGTTCGTAGGTGTTGCGGCAGAGTAGACGATAAATTTTCACCATTTTCCGTTGACCAATACGATGACATCTGGCCTGGGCCTGCAAATCGTTTTGGGGATTCCAATCGGAATCATAGATGATGACAGTGTCGGCAGCTGTTAAGTTAATACCCAAACCACCAGCCTTGGTACAGAGCAGGAAAACAAAACGATCTGAGCCAGGCTTGGAATACCTATCAATGGCCTCTTGACGCAAATTACCACGTATACGACCATCGATACGTTCAAATGGATATTTACGGTAGATTAGATAATCTTCCAAGATATCTAGGCAACGTACCATCTGGGAGAAGATCAAAACCCTGTGGCCATTTGCCTTTAACTTGGGCAATAGCTTGTCGATGAGCACCATTTTACCCGAAGATTGAATGATGTTTTTGTAATACGATTCATGGTCTTCGCCATGTTGATTACGATAGTCGTACTGGATTTGTTCCTCGGCACCATTCAGCAGATATGGATGGATACAACATTTACGCAGTTCCATCATGGTGTTCATTAGATTGGGTATGTTGGCGGAGGTGGTGCCCTTCTTGAGGAAAGCAAAGTTCTGTTCCAATATACCACGATAGTATTTCTTTTGGATATTGGTCAGTTCCACTTCGATAATTGTCTCCTCTTTGGGTGCCAAAGATTTCTCCACATCATCCTTCAAACGGCGCAACATCATGGGTTTGAGCAGAGCCTGCAATTTATTGACCTCCTCTTCGGTACGCAGGCTGCCAAATTCTGACATGAATTCTTCGGCCGACGAGAATTGACTGGGTTCCAAAAAGTTGAGCAGTGAAAACAATTCACCCATATTGTTTTGTAAAGGTGTACCGGACAACAGCACCCTGTGTTCCAAGTTCAGTTGACGCAAACCATCCAATAGTTTACAGTTGCGATTCTTCAAACGATGAGCCTCGTCGATGACACACAGACGCCAATTGAAAGGTTTCAAATCCATGTGATCGGTAACAATCATTTCGAAGGTGGTAATTAGGACATTAAATTTAACCGGTTCCTTCAGCATTTTGCCGGATTCCGTTTTGTAAAAGAACTCATAGTCCTGTATCATTTGTTTACTGGTCACCGAACCATGGTAGACCACAATATTCATGTCTGTCCAACTTTCAAATTCACGCTGCCAATTGGGTATTGTGGAGAGGGGAGCAATTACCAGGAATGGCCCCCTTATGCCATATTCATAGACGGAATGGACAAAGGTCAAACTTTGTATGGTCTTCCCCAGACCCATTTCATCGGCCAGAATACAGTTGTGTGAATTATACCAAGAGAATTTCAACCAATTGAGACCCTCCAATTGATAGGGTCTCAAGGTGTTGCCACCCTTGTAGACGGGTGTCTTCTCCAATTTCTTCCACAAATCCGGTGTCGGACGACGCTTACCCTTCCACTCGGAACGTGGTGGTATCTTATTGAAACGTAGATATTGTTCAATCTTCTCTTCGTCCACATCCTCCTCCAGTTCCCATGTACAATCTTCATAGGGCAAAGACTTCCATTTGACCAAATAATGTTTGGTCGTCTCACCGGTTTGTTCATCGGTATGCACCGACATGTCCAAGACACGATCCACCTCAACAAAATCTGGATTGAAATATTCCTCATCGAGGGTTTCGAAACTCATCTGTTGGGCCTGTTTCTGTTGGAAACGTCGTATTTTGGCACAGACACGACGATCTCCCTTCAGCAGCTCTTCTTCGGTGCGCCACTCACAATGCAGATAGGAAAAGTTGCGATATTTGACCAAGTATTCTTCTACTTCTATATATACAGGTTCGGGTTTTGGTTTTTCTTCCTCTTTTTCTTTATCTTCCTTTTCCGATTTATCTTCATCAGCAACGTCATCTTTTTTATCATCTTCTGTGGCTGGTTTTTGATCTTCGGAGCTTGGCTCCTTAGTTTCGTCATCGGTTTTGGCGGTCTTTTCTTCATCTGGTTTTTCTGCCGATTCTTCAACTTCCATGGCTTCTGTTTTCTCTTCTTTCTTTTCTTCAGATTTCTCTTCCTCCTTTTCGTCTTTTTTATCACTTTCTTTCTCTTCTTTTTCTTCTGCCACCTCCTTTTCTTTGGGTGATTTGGGAGACTCATTCTCCTCATCAACCTCCATTGATTCTGTGGTAGTTTTCTCATCATCCACCTCCTTCTCTTTCTTTTCCTCCTCCTTTTCTTCCTTTGGAGTTTCGTCAGTTTCCTTCTTAGATTCACTGGCTTCCACCACTTCAGCCATCTTCGATTCATCCTCCTTCTTTTCTTCATCCTTTACTTCTTCTGTTGTGCTGGTATCCATTTTTTCTACTTCTCCCTCAGTCTTGATTTCATCACTCTCTTTGGATGCAACGGCTTCTTTGTCTTCAGCCTGGGATTTATCCTCAGCTGACTTTTCTTCATCCTTTCCTTCTTCTTTAGTTTCTTTCTTCTCACCACTTTCTTCATCTGCTGTGGCAGTTTCATCTTTCTTTTCAGCATCCTCATCTCCTTCTTTTTTGATCTCTTCTTCCGCTGCTGGCTCCTTTTCCTCTTCCGGTTTTGGTGGTTCTGGTGTGGGAGGATCTGGCAAAAGTTCTCGTTTACCCATTCTCACAGCCAAGACATATTGAACCACCATACTATCCTCATCTCCGGTATTGATATAAACATAATTGGGTTTGGCCGAAGCTGTGGGCGCCACGGTGGCCTCTTGTGATTTTTCGGATTTTTCATTGAGTATCGAGGGGGTGGTTGTGCTAGATGTAGCCTCAGCTCCTCCCCCACTACCCACTTGCATATCTTCGGCTAAATTGGACTTTTCATCTGTGGTGGTAGGTTGTTCCTGGTTACTGTCTCCACCAGCTGCCGAGCTACTGGCCGCCTGTTGCAGTGCATTTTCTCCATCGCTGGAATTACTGCTCACCGCTGCGGCAGCTGATGTAGAGGCCACAGCGGCAGCAGCTGCTCCTGACTTTTTATCTTTTTTCAATGGTGATGTTCCCAACAGGGATTCAGTCTCTTCATCGGAAAATCTTAGCATAACATCATCGATATACTTCTTACGTTGGGTATTTCTAGATGAACGCCGTTTATTGGTATCCAACTCAGATTCTGGTGGTGGCGAGGGTGGTGGTGTTCTATCTAAGTTATCATCCTCACCATCGGATTCGGGTACAATGCGTCCACGATTTCGACGCTTTTTCAAAGCCCGAGCTGATAGATTACCACCACGGCTACGTCTTGGTCTGCCGCTACTGCCACCCTCACCCTCATCACCGGTGCCTCCTCCACCGCCGCCGCCACGACCTCCACGTCGTTTCTTTTTAGCTCGTGTAGGAGTAGCTGTTGTATCTCCGGCCGAATCTGGTATGCTGTCCACGGTTTCATCACCCACTTCGGCATTTCCGGCGGTATCGGCTCCCTCACCCTTGGGTATCTTGGAAACTGGTATATCATCATAATCTTGGGGTTCACTGCCATCCAATGTACTGGGTTTAGCCTCATCTGAGGTTGTAGTTTCCGGCTTATTTTCAGAATCCTGTTCTTCAGAGGTTTCCGCACTGGGATTTTCCCCGGTAGATGACTTCTCAACCAATGGCTTGTTATCTTCATTTTCACTGCCATCTGCTGCAGGAACTCCTCCTTCACCCTCTATACCTCCATCGGACAATTTCTTTTTACGTGCCGCACTGCCGTTGCGCTTACGCACCGCAGCTGGTGTTCCATCGGCACCCTCTTGGCCTTCCTTTAACTTCTTGGCCTTGGGTGTCCTTTCGCGGGGAGGTTTGTTGGGGTCTTTGGGAGTCCTCGGCTTACGTGGCTTCTTTTTCTTGCCACCAGCATCTGTGGAAGTGTCCAATTCATTGGCTGAGTGAACATCTTGAGAATGTTCCCCACCCTCTCCTTCATTGTATTCGGTCATACCCACAACTGAGTTATCACCAGCTCCTTGGGTGACACAATCTTCGGAGACTGGCAACTGATTGGGTGGAATTGTGGTCATTTGTGTTACCACATTTCCGCTTATATCCATTAGCTCACTGCTATTGGGAGTACCAACGCCAGCAGCGGCCGCCGCCTTATCACCCTTTTTGACCCGGGGCTTACGTGGCTTGTTCGTTCCCTTGCCGCGTCCCCTGCCCGTGGTGCTGGACACCTGTGGCGATTCAATCATTTGTTGTTGCATTATGGGAGTGGGTCCTCCAAAGATTTGTGGTGGCATCGACTGATAGAACAAACATTGGGGGCCACCGACGCACTGATCATTGATCTCATGTTGTTGCACCATATTTATACGCTCCTGAATCCTCATGATTTTCTCTTGCTGATCATGCTGCGGTGGCATACAATAGAGCTCTTGGAGTTGTTGTTGCAGTGCGGCAATTTCCTGTTGATGTAACATTGGTGGCGGATGATGATAGGGCATGGGTGTTGTATAGCCCATGTGGCCACCTTGAGGCGGTGGGGGTGGTGGATATGGTGGCATCATTGGATGTGGTGGTGGTGGCATTCCAAGTGGCGTTAGCTGTGGCTGCTGACCTGGAACAACACCACTTCCATCGTAGCCTGGTAAGGTTGTCATGCCGGTATTTGTGGCTGTTATACTGGCAGTTGGTGGTGGAGCTGTTGTCATTGGCGGCATAACGGGATGACCAGAGGCTGTGGTATGCGGTGGAAGAGTTGTTACACCTGTAGTTATGCCCGATGTTTGGTTGCCCATACCAACAGGTGTTGGCTTTGATTCCATGGGTGTTGTGTTAACCACCGGTGTGGTTTGGGAAGTAATTTCAGGGCTAGCTTTAGATTCCAATGCTTTTTGTGACTCCAATTTATCTTCTGTCAGCGATTCGCTGGGCTTGGAGCCAATTGTATCAGCTTCTTGTAATCCCTCTTTGACGCTGTCCTGATTACCACTGTTACTGGTCTCTTCACCACCACTTATACTTCGGGAAATCTCCTCTTCTTTGCGCAGATCCCCGGTGGTGGGAGGTGGAATTTCATTGTTTGGTTTCTCCGGGGCCATCAGTTCCTCCGGTGGTTTGTCGTGTTGTTGTACCGCTGCCATAGCTCCCATAAATGAACTTTGGGAATTACTATCCAATAGAGCAGCTGGTGCTGGCGTGGATGATGGAACCCCCGTCACATTGGCAACTCCACTATTTGAAGACATGGAATTGTTGTCGAAAATACTTGCGCCAGCGCTTTCTAAAATACCACCACCACCAACAGAGGGCCCACTGCTGCTGTTGTTGCCCGCCGTAGCACCCAGACTTCCTGCTGTCCCTCCTGCTCCGCCCATGGCTGTGGCAGAATTTGAATTCGAATTCAATAATCCACCGCCACCATTACTGCTATTGTCCATTGCCGCTAGGGTCGGAACATTATGACTGCTATTTATGGAACTTTGGGAGTTACTGTCATGTATCGATGTGGGATGATTGTTGACCGTACTGTTGGTGGATGAATTACTGCTGCTATTGTTGCTATCATTGGCCGCCACTGCTAGGGTGGACGAGTCGTTGGAATTGGCAGTTTCATTGAGTATACCACTGATCAAATGATGTTGCGTTGGGGTGGAGGGTGTTGAAGGTTGTTGTTGATGCTGCTGCTGTTGTTGTTGATTATTTGCAGACGCTCCAAGTGCCGAAGTAGGCACTGGAGAAGACACATGAGCTGGAGACATTGTGGATTGCTGATGTTGTTGTGGTGCTGCTTGAGCAATAGAAGGAGCTGTGGATACGGCAGACACTGTGGTCTCCTGTTGCTGCTGCTGTTGTTGTTGTTGTTGAGGTTGTAACATTGAGGAGAACGGATCCTGGGGGTTATATTGGGGTGGTTGAGATGCTGTATGTTGTAGCTGGGGTGAAGGAACATGTTGGGTTTGCGGTTGCTGCTGCTGCTGCTGTTGTGGCGGAGGTTGTTGATAACCCGTCGTTTGTTGTTGGTGCTGTGTTGGATGCATTGGTGAAGGCTGTTGTTGCTGTGTGGGATGCATAGGAGAAGGCTGTTGTTGCTGTTGATGCTGTGGCGTCGCCTGATGGGGACTCCTTTGCTGGTGCGCCTGCTGATGGTGGGGACTTTGTTGTTTTTGCTGTTGCTGTTGCTGCTGCATTTGATTCGATGGTGGTTGTAAAGATCCAGGTGCAGGCTGCTGTTGCTGTTGCGGGTGATGCGATGGCTCAACACCCCTAGGCTGTATTGATGGAGATGACTGATGCATCTGATCACCTGGACCCATTTGATGATGTCCTGGTGTGGTCATGTGATGCAAAGTCATACTTCCTCCGGCTGTCTGCTGATGATGCATGGGAGACATAGAGGATGCAGCATGTGATTGTTGCTGTTGTTGGGAATTTGAGGATGAAGTATTGCCCACAATATCATTGATGGAATGCTGCAATTGTTCGGTCAAATGTTGCTGTTGATGTTGTTGGTGTTGTTGTTGTTGCTGATGCTGCTGCTGTTGTTGTTGTTGATGTGAATGGGGTTGAGTATGAGGAGGTGTTGATTGCTGCTGTTGTTGCTGTTGGGCTTGGGAGACAGGTGTTGTCAGCTGACCAATGCCATGAGGGGTGGGTGTCTGACCTCCAGTTTGCTGTGAAGGCGCAGGAGCCTGCTGTTGTTGCTGCTGCTGCAGTTGCTGCTGATGATGTGTTGGCTGCGGCGGTGGCGCTCCATACATACCCATTTGTTGTTGATGTTGTTGCTGCTGCTGTTGTGGATGGGGCATTTGTGGTGGAGCGGTCATCTGACCCACACTCATGGGATTTGGTGGCGCCTGCTGACTTTGTTGCATATTCAGGTGGGCCGACCATTGTTGGTGTTGAGGCGACACAGGCATACGTGGTCCCATCGGACCATGTTGAGCTGCCGCCGCTGCCTGCCTATAGGCTGAGGGATAATCCATTGGTCCACCGGCCGATAAGCCCTGACCCGGCATTACCATCTGCTCCAAAGCCTGTAAGGTATTGACAGGTGTGGAACCTCCCGTCTTGGAACTTGGTGGACCACCTCCGGCCGTTGTTGGTTGCCTGGGTGAAGATAAACCCACCATACCCGATATGCTATGATGTGTGTTTTGCTGCTGCTGTTGTTGTTGCTGTTGGGTACTGGGTGAATTCACACTAGACTGCTGCTGCTGTTGCGTTTGAGGCGAAGGTCCCTGTTGTTGTTGCTGCTGCTGCTGTTGACTGGAAGGTGGTTTCGCTGGCGACATACCTGGTCTTGGAGACATTTGTGGGTGGGGTGACATGGTCGGTGGCCTGGGTGACATTTGTGGTGAAAGTTGCGGGAATGGCGCCCGATATTGGGGCGAAGCTGTGGCCTGATGTTTTCCCGCCGATGTCATGTAGGAAGGTGCTCCTCCCACCGGCTGCTGTTGTTGGGGTGGAGGCTGTTGGCTTTGTTGTTGGTGTAGGCCAGCATATGATGGTGGCACCACTCCCATATGGGGTGGCGGCAGTTGTTGATGCTGACCCGTGGCCTGCATGAGGCCAACATGGTTTTGTGTTTGCTGCTGTGGTTGTTGTTGTTGTTGGCCTTGCTGGCTTTGCAGCAAATGGGCTGTACTTTGCTGCTGTTGTTGTTGTTGCTGCTGCTGTGGTGTACCTAAACCCGGAGGTACTCCATGTTGTTGCTGTTGCATACTAGGTGGTGGCTGTTGCTGCTGCTGTTGTTGTTGTTGTGGTCCTGGACCACCCACCATATGCGAACTCAATTGGCCAGCCTGTTGCTGGGCACTTAAATGATGACTGGGGACAACGCCACCAGGTGCTGCTGCTCCACCTGGCACATGTTGCCCATATGGACTTGGCTGATCAAGACCAGCATGACCATAGCCCACATGCTGGGGCGCCGATCGACTGGTTTGATGCTGCAAGGGTGCCCCATAGGGGACACCATAGCCTTGTGGAGCGCCCGTTACACTCGATCCGGCGGGCACACCAGGTCCCGGTCCCGGTTGTGTGGGTGTGGTCGAGTAGAGGGGGTGTTGGCTGGGAGCTTGGGGATAGTGTTGTGGGGGCAGGCGTGATTGCTGGCTCTGTTGTTGCTGCTGCTGCTGTTGTTGTTGTTGCTGTTGGGGCGTAGGTGCTTGTTGCTGCTGTGGTTGTTGTTGTGTTAGGGCACCATAGCCGCCAGCAGGTCCAACATTTGGTCCAGGCTGTTGCAGTAGACTGCTCATCATACCCTGCTGTGAGCCATAGGGTAATTTTGATTGATCCTGTTGGCCATAGGCGGGCATGTGTTGACGATAGCTGGGTAAGAATAAGTAAAAGGTTAAAGGAGATGACAAAGTAGGGGGTTTTTTCGGAGACTTACCTTGGCTGTGATGATGACTGCCTTTGTTGTGTCGGTGGCCCCGCCTGGGGATGACCATAAGCTCCTAATGTGGCACCTGGATAGGCACCTGCCTGGCCGGGTACGGTGGGTCCGGCACCCCAACCGCTTAAATCACCCATACCCATGCCGGCATGTTGATCGGCGGCACTTAGGCCATAGATGTTGTCCGCCGTTGGCTGATAAGTGGGGTACTGAGGCTGTTGCTGTAATGGATGTGGGCCTCTGTGCCGGGGATAGCCACCGGGTGGTCCCATGGCCCGTGGAGATGCTGCAGCCGCAGCTGCTGCGGCAGCGGCTGGATCATAGCGGTAATAGGGATCTCTGAAAAAAGGACAAAAAGAAGGGGAAATGAGTAATGATTTAATAAAAAAAAACGTGGCGTCGGGAGACTTACCCTTGATGATTGCCGTGAAACATATTTTGGGCATTGCCATCCATCAGTTGTAGACACACACAAAAAAGATTAAAATGTTGTCTCTCTGCTTGCTATTTTGAAAAATATCTTTTCTCCAAATGTAGATGTTTTCCAAAACGTCTTCCAAATTCGATGGACGTGGGATTGACTCGACGTGCTGAGTCGGGGGGAGAGGAAGTTGAGTTGGTTGCTTCTAAAGGAACTGAAAATCCTTGTCGTTTGTTGTGTTTTTAGAAATACATTTTTTCAAAAGTTTGGATTTTTGTTTTGGAATTGTTGGGAGGAGGAGCGAGCGTCGTTGGAGCTTAAACGAGGAGTTTGCAATTAAAACGAACGAACGGAACGAAACAGCACAGGACACATTAAAAAATATATATAGTTTGGAGATAAATAAATTATGAAATTGCCACTCAATAAAATATTTATATTGATTTTGCAAATTGTTGGGGGTGGGGTGGGGCTGTTGGATGGTGCGAATGCCAATGAATTGCAAATAGGCAAATAGAGACGCACACAACTCCCTTTCGAAAATGATGAAGGAGTCCACTTGAAGTTTCTTTTTTGGAATTGAAGTTGTTGTAGGTTGTCACTTGCTTGTTGGGTTTGTTGTTCGTGTTGTTGTTGTTGATGATTGTTTTAAAGTCCTACACTTTTTTCTTAGTTGTTTGTTGTTGTATTTAAAATCTACAAATATTGTTTTGTCTATTTGTTGTTGTTAGTTTAATTTCTTTTATAACTTGAGTTTTTTTTTGGTTAATTTAAACAATTTTACTTTTAGTTATATTGTTTTAAATTAACAAATGGAGTACAACGACATGTTGTCTTTTTCAGTAATGAGACATTTTTTGTGTAATTTGTTCACAGCTGTAAATAGAGTAATTGAAATTGGAAATTAATACAAAAACAAAAAATAAATAAATAAAAGTGTTGAAACCCACACCACTACACAAGTACTATTTATCAAGGAAAATGTGTTTCAGGATCACATAATCTGCTCTAATAGTCACAGTTTATTTCCCCTAAACAGTCATAGGAAACTGAGCTTTAGGAGGTTGCTTTAAACGTATGTGTAACTATTTTGATCATAATTCTGAAAGGCCAATTTCTTGGCAGTACATGTGTAGTGGTGTTAAGGGGCATGGCACATTTTGAGCCATAATATAATCAATTTTTTGTAAATCAATTTTGCTGAAAATTATTGATAAGTAAAAGCAATAAAATGATGCAATCAGACGCAGTGATCGAGGATTATTTTGGGGTTTGACGGGCAGAATGACAGTATTTCGAAAATCTGAAAGAAAAAATAAGAAAAATGGGTTTTAGTGGGGTTTGAAATATAAAAAGGTAGAGGTTATAAAAAATACAACTACAATCATTACAAAATATACAAAAGTTTGAACAATTGGTTTGAATAAAGGGACGTCCTATGAAAAATATACAATTAGTTGGTGTAACTTCTACCCATATCCGATCGATTGAACGCATTTTGAAGCTCTAAACATCATTTTTCGATTCAAGTGCATTTAAAGGGGTACGCACTTTTGCAAAAAAAATGTTCAATGTAGGTCAAGGTTTTAGATAGCTCCAATTTAATGGAACCTTAAATGGTTAAGTTAGAAAAAAACCTATCACGTTATTTGGAAGGGACTATATCTAATATAAGGAGGGTTTTTATACCCTCCACCTTGAAAAGGAGGGTATATTAAGTTTGTCATCCCGTTTTGTAACCTACCTAAATATATTCATGATCAGTATAAAATTCTAAGTCGATTTAACGATGTCCACCTGTCTGTCTTTTGAAATCGCGATACAACCCACATTGAATATGAGATATATCAGTCCAGGTTTTCATAAAGCCACCATATAACCGTACCTCCCGATATTCGGTATTTTGACGATTTTTGCCACATTTTTTCACGGATTTGTCTAGAAAATGATATTTGTAATTCAAATTAGGTTCTAGCACTGGTGGCGGAACATTGTATGTATAGGTCCACGTTTTTATGTAGCCCCATATAACGGTACCTTCCGATATTTCGAATTTTGATGATTTTTGCCACATTTTTCTATGGATCCGTCAAAAATTGGTATTTGAAGGTCATAATGAGTTCTAGGTATAGGTCCACGTTTTCGTATAGCCCTCATAAAATGGTACCTCCCGATATTCGATATTTTAATGGCTTTTGTCACATTTTTCAAGGGTATTTGTAGTTCTTAATGAATTCTCGCTCCGGTGGCAAAACAATGAATATCGAGGACCATGTTTTACGATGTCGCACATATAACATTCGATTTATGCATGTCTGTGTATTTTTAGAAACCAAATACAGGCCGCATTTATTTTTCTATTGAGTTGCAATTATTAGGTTAGCCCAAGGACGAACCCTATTGAAATTGGTGAGAATCTGTTCAGATTTGGATGTAGCTCCCACACATGTCTTAGTTCGATTTCACATTTATTAGGGACCAAATGGGTAACATACGGCCAAACATTATTCAGCTTTGAAGCAAGTACTTTAAATTTTAAAATTGATGGAAATCGGTTCGGATATAGCTATAGCTCCCATACATATGTTTGATCGGATTTGGTGCTTAAGTCCCTCCCATTCGCAATATGTACTCCAAAATAATGATATTTGGCACTACATATTTCAAACAGCTCAGACATACCTCTGCCAAATTTTATCGAGATCGCTTCCGATTTGGATATGGCATCCATATATATTTATCCGATTTCATGGTTATTGTGCACCATTTTATATCAGTTTGAATTGATTTGGTTTCTGCATTTTAACCGGTTCTTCCATTTAGTTAAAATCGGTTCACTGCTTCTCGAAGTCATATCATACACTCTTTATCAATGTCATTTGTTACGAGAGGCACAAACGCCACCATCAAATTTATTAGAAGTCGATTCAGATTCACCCATAGAACAGTTACCTCTTATTCCAAATTTTTATCACTCTAAAGCCACAATATGTATTCAACAAGTAAAAAGGCTAAGTTCGGCCGGGCCGAACTTTCAATGAACTACACTATTTGGCAGGAACTTGAAAATTTTTAACGAATTTCGAAAAATACCATCTAAATGATGACCTTTATACGGCGGCTATACGAAGACGTGGACCTGAATATTACGATCTTCAAATACAGAAATTTAAACAATTCCGGCGAATAATGTCGCTAAAATCATCAAAATACCGAATAAAGGGAGATAAGCGTAATATAGGGGCTATGCGAAATTGTGAACCGACATGGTCCATTTACGAACTTAACCGGCCTACTGATATAATACACATGGTCCAAAATTTTAGCCTTCAAATTTAAATCGTTCGAAAGAGTGATTACAACAGACAGACAGACGGACATCGCTGAATTGTCTTAGAATTTTACGCTGATGCAGAATACATATACTTTGTAGAGCCTATCATGAATATTTCGAGGAGATACAAACGTAATAACAAAGCTAATATACCCTCCATAGAATGGAGAGTATAAAAATCTATTTTGCAGAAAATCTATTTGAATATTAATTGAAACTCGATTGAACGATTTGCATTTACATGGTAATAGCTTGTAAACTATTTAATCAACTTGGCTTAAACCCTGAACCTAAACTTAGGAGCATCGAAGCTGAATAGATCAAACATGATTTGTGTCGTGAAATACGGCCTCAACAGCCCAAATGTGTCTGTTCTGTTTTGTCACATCTGAAGTAAAATAGTCACACAAGACAAGTGTTTTCGAGATATCAACATAAACCTAACATTTTGACAAAAAATGGATTAGAATATGAACTTTTATCTTTTCTGCAAAAGTATTAATTTACAATGCTTTCCATTTCGTGAGTTATGCCCTTTTTGAGTTAATGGTTCAAAATCCACAATTTCAAAGTGACTCAGTGGGGCTATTAATAGTTTGTGGAAAATTAGTTAAAACGCTACGACGATAAGATAGATACTCAAAATTCTTTTCCAATGATAACTGATAATTTACACATGTTTTGTACACTTTTACGGGATATTATATTGATATTACACAAATACACACACACATTAATACAATTATAAATACAATTTTTTTAGTTTTGATCGACGATATTTGCTACCGACATTTAAGGGGAAAAGCTATACGCTTATGCATATCATATAAACGGAGTTTAGATATTTTCAAATAAACAAAACATACAACGTACAGCATTACCCCTCAAAGATGTAGCAGGAGGAGGATGCGTTTTGTTTCGCTCATTCGTTGTTTTCACTTTATTCACTTCACTTTTAATTTTTTTGTATCACTTTTTCGTTTGATATTGGAAGTGCAGTTCTTAAAACCGATATTTTAAATCCCGAAAACATTGAGCGATGAGATATTTTTTAATATTTTATACAATATTAAACACAAACTGATTTACTATCGGCTTTCCGGCTTTCTCACCATGTGGAAACTTAAATTTAATTCCCCTGAAATTTTGGTATAGCGGCAATACCTGGTCAGAGTACTGTTATTAAGTACTGTGTAATCTTCTCAGATATTTTTCATTGGCTATGAACCCAAAATACTAAACCCGCAGTAATAGGCATTTATTGAGTATTCTCTCTAGATATGCATTGAACAATTTATGCACGAATGTGTTCTACCGATAAAAAAATATGTGTTTTAGATCTTTATTCGGTCGTTGCCTCTATATAAGGCTTATGTCAAAATATGAACCGATATTGGAAACAAAGTAAAAGGCATATTTTTATAACCTCAGCCATATGGCTAGAGAGGGTATATATCATTTGATGCGGCCAAAACGTGCCTTATCGAAATAATGGTTTCAGACCCTAGGTATCTTTGGACTAAATCCGATTCAGGACATTTGGTCTAGATTTGTCCGTCCGTCCGTCTGTCTGGCTGGTACTCCCACACAAAATGTCAACATTTTCAAAGAAAATTATTTATTGCACAAAAAGAGAAAATGGACAATATCGGTCGGTCCACTTCTTCAAGTACCTCTCGCACTAAGGGTCAAATTTAGAATAATTATAAATCTAATAAAATGTAATGCAAGTGTCCGATGGTCTTCAAATTGCACACATCACAATATATTTATTAACCCAAGGTTTGGTTTGAAGATGGAAAATATCGTATCACTCCTTCTGATACGTCCCCCACAAGGGAATTTTGAATATTAACGTAGCTCATAAAACACAAAATTAACATCCGATTCCATTCAGAATCTCAATATTTCCATAAATACAAGATCTGTTATAAAGATGGTGGAAATCGGATCATTCCCTCTGGTACCTCACCCACAAAAAAAAACAAAACTTACACCGCAACAGAAAGAAAATAGACTCAAAAGAGCTAAAGAGTTGCTTCGCTTGGCCGAAAGTGGTGAAATGCCGAATTTGGGTTTCTCCGCTGAAAAAACATACGTTGTCTAGCAGTTTGTAAGCACAGGCATACAAAATGATCGTGTTTACTTGTCAAAGAAGTCAGCTAAAAATTTGCACCTTCGGTTGGCCACCAGAACTTAAGCCCTGGCCATGGTGATGGTGTGGGCCGCCATAACAGCCGATGGTCGCCTCCGCTCGTATTAATCGACTGTGGCATGAGAATAAATGCCGAATATTATCGCGAAAATATTCTGGAGGGTGTATTAAAGCCTTGGAAACGCAAATGCGAACATTTTGGCCGCAGTACTTGGACATTCCAACAGGACTCAGGACGCGCCACCCAATAATGGTTGCAAAATGAGGTTCCTCGCTTCATTTCCAACGTACAATTGGCCACCAAAATTTCCGGATACCAGTCCGTTGGACTATTGTGTCTGGAGTTTTTGAAATCAAGGTTGGCACTGTCGATTACCTCAAGCAAGC